CCTGGGTATGGCTGTTTCCACGATACTCAGGCATACACACTTCCCTGGGTATGGCTGTTTCCACGATACTCAGGCATACACACTTCCCTGGGTATGGCTGTTTCCATGATACTCAGGCATACACACTTCCCTGGGTATGGCTGTTCGTGCTGAAAGAGCAGGGGAGGAAAAAAAAAAAACATCAACACCAAGAAATGTTCTGCAATCTTCCCAGATCTCAGCTAGTGTAGTTCCTTGCATTCCTAGTGTTCACTGGGAAGAAGCAGACCCCTAGCTCCTGAAAGTTTCATAACTGCTGCTAACAAATCGGTTCCCAAGAAAAGGGAATTGCCAGTCCCTCATCCTAGAGACCCCATAGGAGTTTTTTCCATGTTTCCAAAGTTGTTTGACATCATTTTGTAGACACGGCAGGTCAACATTTAATGCCCTTTTGTATCAGTTGCAGGGCAATTTGTCAGTTAAAGGGGATGAGAAGATACACAAGCAGACACAGAAGTTTGGGAACTTACCTCCTGTTTATAAACAAACACGGGTACATAGCTCACTAAAGGCAACATCTTATCACACAACAACAGAAAGCTACAAGATTAAGTGGTGGGCTTATTTTTGATTCTTTCATGATGGAGTAATGCTTGGTCCTGCCTCCGTTTTGTGATTCTGACTACTATGAGCTCACTCAAATTTCACCCAAAGAATCAAGAGACCTGCTGTTGAGATGGGAGTGAAAACCCCATCTGAAACCAGGACAGTGTGATATCATGGAGAGCCTCCTGCTTATGCTTCAGTTCATTAAGCCAAAGCAACACTTTCATAGTTGTATTGTCATGTGCCACTGTTGTTTACTTGGATTTTTTATTTTCACAACCTACCCTCCTTTCTTATTTGTGATCACAACTACACCATTATGCTCTATTCATTTCATCTCAGACGCCTCCACTGAGAGTGTGCTGCTAACAAACACTGTTTTGACTGCAATCCAGGGCTCATCAGAAGAGGAGGGAGAAACATATTTATGCCTGGAAGAACTGCATCAAAAGCACGTACAAAATGATAAAATATGAACATAAGCCTTGACCCTCTTCCCAGCACCTGTGCCCTACCCAGATGAACATCGCTGATGGGATGTAGCTTGCACACATCATCTATTGCAATCTCTGCCCGTGGTTTGTGAGGGTTTGCAGCAGGCTGGAGGATATTCCAGCTGCTTACATGACAGGCAGCTAAAAATATTTATGGATAGCTGGGAGCCTGCAGCAGAGATGGTTTCTGGAGCGTGACTTAGGGCCTGATCCAGACCTCTTTAAAGCCAGTGAGCCTACACTGAGCTCAGTCCCCCCATGCCTCTGTTCTCTGATCGTAAGGCAGAAAATCCAGCACACCTTCTCTCCTACACTGCCCACCCACTATCCACTCCCCAGACTCCTCGGGGCAGGGGCTGTCAGTTGTTTGGTGCGCACAGGGCACCTTGCCCACGGGGGCTCTGACTTTCCCCATCCCTCTCAGCTGTTACAGACACATTTGTGATAACAGAATTAGCACTAAAGAACAACGTGAGATCCCCACACTAGTACAACGTGTGTCCAGCCTATCTCAGCCACACAGCGGATACAGAGATGAGATGAGATATGATTTGACTGCAGGCACTCTTGGTATTTGTATGTGGTTGTCGTACATGGGTACAATCCCACACACTTGTAATATCAGCTCACTCGAACCACAGCACGTTCATGACTCTTTATTGCCAGTTTTCCTAAGTAGCTGAATCACAGGGCAGTTCAGGTTGGAAGGCACCTCTGGACACTGTCTGGTGCAGCCCCTTCTCAGGTGTCCCATGGAGCATCTCCTGAGAATGGAGACCACAACCTCTCTGGGCAAACTGTTCCAGTACTTGACCACCCTCACTATAAAATAGTTTTTCCTCACACACAAATGGAATTTCTTTCATTTCAGTTTGTGTCTATCGTCTCCTGTCCGTTCACTGACATAATGACTGATAAACCACTCTTTCTTCTCACCACCTGCCAGCAAATGACCCTCGCAATTCTCAGCTCCTCCAGCCCCCGTATCCTGCTTTTCCCCTTTCCTGTCACCCCAGCTCGCCGCCCCAGGGGCCACCACCCCGGGCAAAGGCGACCGGGCGGTGGCGGCCCGACTGCGGAGGAGGAGGCGGAGAGGCCCGGCGCGGCAGGAGGCGGGTTTCCCCGCCGCACCTGGATTCAGCGCCGAGCACCGAGGCACAGCACGGAGCACCGAGAGCCAGCCGGCCCGGAGCATGGCGCGGGAGCTGAGCCAGGAGGCTGTGCTGGACTTTCTCTGGGCGGCCGGGGGGCGAGCCCCCAACTCGGCGCTGCTCCGCCACTTCCAGCGCTTCCTTCGCGACCCGGCGCTGACGGAGCAGCAGCGGCGGGAGCGCCGCGAGTATTTCAAGAGCCTTGTCAACTCCCTGGCCACCGTCCACCCCGCCGCCGCCCCCGGCGCCTCCAAGGACATCGTCCTCCGCCGCAGGTACCGCGACCTCCTCGATGAGGAGCTGCCGCCGCCGGAGGAACAGCGGGAGGAGGCAAAGAAGGAGCCGGAGCCGCCGCCGCCCCGACGCGACCCCGACGGGCGGCGCGGCCCCCGAGGGGAGGCGGCGGAGCAGGGGCGGCCCTGCGGGGGGCAGCCCCCGAGAAGTGCCGCCGTGTCGGGGGGCTGCTCCGCCCGGGGCCGCGGCGGTCCCTGCTGCGAGTGCCGCCGGGCGCGCCGCGCTGCCGCCGCCGCCGCCGTCCCCCCGCCGGGCCCCCGGGCACCGCCCCCCGCCGGGCCGCCCCGCTCCCTCTCCCCGCCGCCCCCCAGGCAGCCCCCCCCGTACCGGACCCAGCCGCTGTCCTCGGGGCCCTGGGCGCTCCGCCCCGGCGGCACACCGCGCTCCCGGCCCCCGCTGCTGCCCTCGGCTCCTGGGGCGCTGGCCCCCGCTGTGCCGCCCCGGTCCCCATCGCCGCCGCTGCCTGCCGCCGGGCCGCCCTCTGCCACACCGTCCCGCTCCCGGTCCCCACCGCTGCCCTCGGGCCCGGGGGTGCCTCAGCCCCGGTCGTCGCCGCAGCCCCCGAGCGGGATGCCCCTACTGAAGGCCCCAGCGCCCACAGCAAGCCTGAGGGGGCCACCCCTTACCGGACCCTCCCAGTCCCCCCACCTGTCATCGGGCCCCAGGGCGCTGTCCCCCACCGAACTGCCCCCATCGCGGTCCCTGCCGTTGCTGTCCGCCCCGGGGGTGCTGCCCCTGTCCCGGTCCCTGCAGGCACTCCCTGCCAGCCCCTCCTCATCCCCA